AGAGTGACTTTTACAAACTCAGCATCATTCTGTTCTGAAGTTGCATCATTCATCAACTTTCTGAAGGAAGTGAAGAGCCGCATGTCAACTGTACAGAACATGCAGAATCATGCTAAAGTATAAATAAACAATCCAGCTGATGGTGTAGGCTAGAGACAGATTCGAATGCGTTGCAAGGAAAAACAAAAGGAAACTTTGTTTCGTGCACTAAAGAAAAACGAAGGATAATGCATTAGAGCCTTCGATGCACGGGCCTTCGACGAGTGGATCTCATTTTAGTGAACTTATTAGTAGTTTATTTGACTAAGGACTGAACACACACACGCGCGATTGTTGCCAAAATGTTAAATGTCTTGTTTAACACAGGCAGACGAAATTGAAGAGGAAACACTGCAACCAAAATGATGCCCATCAAACTGCAGTTTGATCATCAGAGGAGCAAGAACAAGAAGATGAAGAACAACCAGGAAAAGTCACAAACTAAAGGGTCAATAGATACAAATACAGTGAAACCTGTTAGATGGGACAGCATGGAGCACGTGAGACCAGACTGAGTATTGTACTAGATTCTCTCTCACTGTGAAGAGATTTTAGAAAACTATTTTTTTCCTTTATCATAACACCAACCTCTTCAATTATGAAGTTGATTAAAACCACCTAGGACATCCATATATACTGATATTTTTTTTTCATCACTGATATTTCAGTCTCTTTTGATCAAGCTGAAGAGTCTCATTCTGATCAACCAGGATGAAGTGAGTTTACATCACTGGCAGGTATAGTGATTATAATCTCACTGATCATGATATACCAAGAATGTACTTTAGTGCTGACTAATGTTTGTGAATGTGTTTTATTTTATGGCGCCTTTCAAGAACCCAAGGACACCACACAAAATAATACAAGCAATTGGCAAACAAAATACACCTGACAATCAGAGGGGACATTCAGACAAACAGGTGTTGACAACAAATAAATACAGATAAGAGCTCATGCAATCAGATGATGATGAACATCAGTTATGTCAAGAGGGTGGTCATGTAACATACAAAAAAGTTGGGAAACAGACACAGGGAGGTAAATGAGTTATTCACAGAACAAAGTGAATAGATGAGTTTTAAGTTGAGACTTAAAGGTCTGGAGAGAGGAGGCAGCACGAATATTACGGGGCAGCTTATTCCATAGCTTAGTGCCTATAATACAGAAAAACCCTACCACCCACCGTAGAGTGTTATGAATATTTATACTTTTTTTTTTTTTTAGAAAACATCTGGACCTTAAACTCTAGTATGTGACAGCAGTTCAGTCACCATCCTGGACAACTTTCCTCAGTTTGCTTTTGCATATTTCACGCGTCCTTCACGGCTGCACATTTGGAGCTGCGCTTGTATTCCTGTAGCGAACACGCAGTATTTTTTTTTATTCATCATTTTCAAATGTATTATTTTTGGTTTATGTTTTCTGTTGCCCTGTATATTATTGATTTGAATGAGATGCTGTTCTGTCATTTGTCTGTTGTGTTGCAGTGTCTTACTGTCAGGTATGACATGCAATTTTGAATTTGAATTCTCACACTATTTATTGCACTTTATTTCCTGCACTTTCAACTGTTTTATTTTGTTGAGAGCTAGGGAAATGTCTCTTGTGAAGCCTTACATCACGTGAAACCAAATCTGTTTTTGTGGGTCACAAATCTTAGGTGTCATATGGGGGTTAATAACAGGGAACACTTTTTGATCTTCGTCACTCGATTATATCTGGCAACCCTTGTAACTTTAATGAAGAGAACACACTTGTGTGAAGGAAGAGTTCAGAAAAGAGCAGCACATAAAGCTACTGTTAATGATGACTGGTCAGGAGTTATTTAATAGTGTTTTGAATTACACACACATTTTAACTACATTATTTTCAGGCCCCAGGTTAGGAACTGTTGCCTTCAGATGTCTCTTCTTTAAATATTTTAATTGTTGTTTAACTGATGATACTAAAGTTTATGCACTGCTTTGTGTACAATCATATTTTAATAACATTTTATATATTTTAACATGGTTTTACATTATAATTGACATTCTTTCTACTATTTCATTTTCCAAAAAGGTGTCAAACATATTATTTGGCTTATGAAAGGTGTCAATAAAAGTTGTAATTATTACCCAGCTTATTTGTGATATTTATATTATTCTTAAACAGACATTGCAGAGCATTTTACAGTACCTGTCATTTGTCTTTTAGAAATCATTTAATCATGATAGTCAACTGAAAAGAGAAAAACCTAATTTCATAATTTATTGATAGTAATTTTTAACATTCATTTGTGCCTCACTGTTTCTGTGAACTCTTTAGTTTATATTAACCTTGTTATTCACCTAGTGAACTATAAATCTTTCAGAACTTGACTCAACTTGTCTAAAATCCTTTAAAGGGGTCATATGATGCGATTTCAATTTGTCCTTTCTCTTTGGAGTGTTACAAGCTCTTGGTGCATAAAGAAGATCTGTAAAGTTGCAAAGACTAAAGTCTCAAATCCAAAGAGATATTCTTTATAAAAGTTAAGAGTCAGCCACACCTACCTAAAACGGCTCGTTCGAACACGCCCCCACATGTCTACATCACTATGTGGGAAGATTTGCATAACGCTGCCCAAATGTTCACGCAAAGAAAGAAGGCGTAACGTTTATTCTCGCTGTAGTATTGTTGCTGCCGCCATGTCGTGAAGGCGCTGTGCGTTTCGTTGTGAAAGCGAAACTACTTTGTTTGGTCTTCCAAAAGAGGACACGACTAGAAATCAGTGGTTAAGTTGTATTTACAACACTGTTCCAGAACAGTTCAACCCAAATATTCAGATGTGTGCAGCACATTTTATGGAGGACTGTTTCCTGATCCTGGGAGAGTAGACTACAATGCCGGCTGTTCTGACTCACAGTCTGTAAGTAAGTTTTTTATATTTAAAGGATTTGCCACTGACGATTCAAACGCGAGTTTTGAGCAGTGTAGAGTAGCACTTGTTGTTTGTCATTTCTCCGATCACAAATGCAGACAGGGTTTTATGTTTACGCGGCGCGATGCAACGCAACCGTTTTCAACGCGTTTCAGAAAGGCGGGGCATAGAGGAGAAACAATAATGTACAGTATGTGGAAAATAATGTGTTTTTTTACTTTAAACCGCATGAAGACATTTCATTACACCAAATACACAAAATAATGTTCTTTTTAGCAACATCATATGACCCCTTTAAGTTGAAATTTGAACACAGGGTTTTTACTTGGTGACAAGACTATTTTTAACGGGTTATCTAAAAAAAAAAAAAACACTTTGGTTGAACATCATTCAATCACTGACAGCGGTATTTGGACATGTCTAATTTTAGTTGATCCTACATGAAGTATTTCAATAGAGATAACGTTTCCATTGTGTGGAACCACTATCCGTAATTAAATCACTTAAGTGCTATAGTAACTTTTTATATCCATAGCACTTGCTTTGGCACTGCTGTTTTTTTTTTTTTTTTTTTTACTTCAGATTCTCAACCCCAGCACATGCTCAACACAAGGGTCTTTGGCACTGCTTTTTTTTTTTTTTTTTTGATTACTTCAGATTCTCAACCCCAGCACATGCTCAACACAAGGGTACAATGTACAATGGTAACTAACCCCCAAAACACTACCATGACGATGTCTTTTAATATACAAACATAATAGAACATTAAACAATAAGACTCCCCATATTCTCATCTTGTTAAAAAAATGCTTAAACAACACTTTATTTCAACATTTTCTCTCCCCATGTCCAGCTCCATGCAAAACATGATGGGAATTGTGCAATTTATTTTGAGCTCAGTTTAACATGATGCAGTCAAACCTGATACAATAGTGTTAAATCAAAATGAATAGTTAAAACAAAGTGAACAGCATCAAAAAAAATGGACTTGGTGAGTGGACTTCTACCCCAGTTCCACATTTTCTTCATGAAAATGAAGCACAAGACTGTGGGCGGGGCTTGGCTGCTGTGTTTTGGTCTGATTGGGCGGTTCTTCCTTGTGATTGACAGCTACAATGTAACTCAACATGGCAAAATAAACTCCAAAGGAATGAACTTTCTCTTCGGTGCTGAAACAGCACCTGTATTTTAAAATGAAATTGATCGTTTAGTCACGACGCATTTTATTGTTTTGTTGGTCTTTGGGGTCCTGACATTTCAGCTGAATTTGAAGTGTTTAAAAGTGTTGGATAATTTCTTTGAGTTGTGTGTGATCTTCAGAGGACAACGAGGAGGTTTTCTTGGAGGAATCTGCTACAGTATCAATCATAAGACGGGTAGGTTATGACAAAGGTTATTCATTTTTGTTATTTACTTTTTAAGTCAGATGACATTTGCATAGTTTTAATAATAAATAAGAAGTTTTGCATTGTATTTGCATTGTAGAGTCTATATAGTCTGTATGTTGCTTTTATTAAATGAATCTTAGAACAATCTAAGGCAATTATTAACCCTGGCAAGGCAAATGTACGATATATGAGAGTAAAGTTTTGTGTCCTGGTCAGTTGGGTCACTTTGACAGTGAAATATGATGCAAAGTGCCAGCAGCGCCACCTGCTTGAGAGTGACTTTTACAAACTCAGCATCATTCTGTTCTGAAGTTGCATCATTCATCAACTTTCTGAAGGAAGAGGAGAGCCGCATGTCAACTGTACAGAACATGCAGAATCATGCTAAAGTATAAATAAACAATCCAGCTGATGGTGTAGGCTAGAGACAGATTCGAATGCGTTGCAAGGAAAAACAAAGGGAAGCTTTGTTGTGTGTATTACAGAAGAAACGGTAATGCAATATATTTAATGCATCAGTAACGCTGAGCATTTCTTCCTATACCTGTTTTTATAATTATACATTTAAATAACGTTTTATACTCGAACTTTTTTTAAGTTTAGAAAATAATAAGGTGATATTTTGTTCACAAGGTTAAGTCGCATACGTGCGAGTGGGCGGGGCCATACGGCGAGGGCGTTGCCTGCGGTTCCGTGAATCCGGAAGAGTACGCCGCATTGAAAGTGCGCGAAAATAAGTGTTTTTCTTTGTCGCTATGTACTTTAAATACTTGTTTCTGTAATTTGTAAATGTATGGATCAGCTGGGGGACTTGGAAAAGTGGTATTATTAAGAGGATTTGAGACGCACGTGAGAGCCGGTGACAATAGTGCGCGCCATAAATCATCAACACGTGCCTTTGAGAATCACAGCAGCGGTGAGGATTTAATTAATTCCTATGTTTAATATGTGTGCATAGATATTAATAGTAAGCTTTACTGTTTTATATGCAAATTTGGGCGCATATTGGTGATTATTTCATTTTTGTTTCATATGGGAGATGCACTAGCCGATCTCTTCGACTGCTTCAGCTGCTTTACTGGTTCTGCAGTGTTAGATCTCACTTAAACAGCTTTTGGTTTTGTTTGATCGTGCACTGAAAAACTTATTTATGCATTTAGAGTATAAACTGGCACTGATGCTTCCTGCTGTCAGTGTTAGGAAACGCACGCATGCGCACATACACTAAAAGCGCTTTCCATGGTGATGAAAAACATGTCATTGAATTTAAATTTAAAAAAAAATTTTTTTTTTGAGTCTTGACGAGACGGTTCACTTGAGTTATTTTTGCATTTACCCTGTCTGTGACCTTAAAAGTGGGCTCAGATTTTTTTTTTTGGTCCATTTTAGTCAACTTACTTTTAATACCCTAATGTTCTATTTTGAATCCCTTGAATGTTGTAGTAGAATAATGCATTAGAATAATTAGTCTCTTATTGTTTTTGATGATGATAATGGAACACTTATTAGTAGTACATTAAAGGTCCCATATTGTCAAAACTGAAATTTTCTGGCTTTTTTCATGATTACTGAGGTCTAGGAGCTATCTAACTACCATATAAATTTTCTAGATATTTTATTACCATTTTCTAAACTATAGCGAATATAATATGAGAAATGTTGAAGGTGTCTGAATAAATTTTGATTTGACTGTATCTATTTGATAAATGAAGTTAACCAACTAACATTATACATACCCTTTTGGTTTCTGTACCCAATATTTAAAAAATGTACAAATGCAATAAAAATATCGGTATCGGTACTCGGTATCGGCAAGTACCAAAAATAAAAGTATCGGTATCGGGCGAGTACTGGAAAAAGTGGTATCAGTGCATCCCTATTCAGTAGTATGTTATGTAGTAATTAGCATTTTCAAATAAACACATTGAAAGATGTCATTCTTTAAAACAAGATCAAGCTTTTGTTTAATTGCATGTCATCATTGTCTTTGTATAATAACCTGTATGGTTAAAATATTCATAATTATGCAAATTAAAATAGACAAGCACACCTTGCATATTATAAGCAATCATCACTGAGATGCTAAAACTACTTAAAACTAAGAAGTTTTAGTGTGTTCACATATAAAACACAAACTGACATCTGGTGAAAACAGTTTAAAAACATTTTTTAAAATCCATATCCAGTATTTACAAATGACTGGAAACTCACAAATCAAACCATGTTCACATGATGCCTTCCAATGCTGTTTGTTGCTTTTACTCCATCATTTGTTTGGACTGATTACTCAAACGGAAGTGAACTTGAATAGCCGTCAGACACGAAGAGGCACACGTGATTGAGCAGTTTTATGACTGAACTGGCAAGACGAGGTTGATTTTTATAGCTGCATATTTTATAACAAAGATAAATCCGCAGTGGCTTTATGTGTGATTTGTTTGAATGGGCAAACGAGTGTCTGTTTCTCTCTCAGATGATGTCAGAGAAGCCGCCGTTGCCTGCGGATGGCCAGCGGGACGAAGCTGAACCGGGTTTAGGGCTCGAGCAGGAGGTCACAATGGAAACGGCCCGGGACGGCTGGGACAGCAAGGTGGAGTATTTCCTCGCTCAGGTGGGATTCAGTGTGGGATTGGGAAACGTTTGGAGGTTCCCGTACCTCTGCCACCAGAACGGAGGAGGTGAGTGAGGAGGAGATTGTTTTGCATGTATGCAAATCATATCCAGGTTTGTTTTTAGTTTATAACTGTCGTATTGTTTCATGTCCTTCAGGAGCGTTCATCTTGCTGTATGTGCTGTTGATGGTGCTGGTCGGTGTGCCGTTGTTTTTTCTGGAGCTGGCGGCGGGTCAGAGCATCAGACAGGGCAGCATCGGCGTCTGGAGGCACATTTCTCCAAAACTAGTTGGCATTGGCTACTCCAGCTGTGTGGTGAGTATTATCTTGCTTTATTAGTCAGTTGCACTGGTGCATAATAAAGAAACTGAACTTTTTTTTATAGCAGACTGCACAAAATTGCAATTACAAAAATGTAATTAAAGTCCCCCTTCAGTCAATAATTTTTATCTCTAAATGCCTTATTATTATGTCAAAATGACATGTTTTAACATTTTTTGTTTTTGTGAAAATATGTATTATTTGTTCCTTAAAATGACTTAAATGTAACTATACACCTTGACCGCATTTAAAGGGGTCATATGATGCTGCTAAAAAGAACATTATTTTGTGTATTTGGTGTAATGAAATGTGTTTATGCGGTTTAAAGTTAAAAAAACACATTATTTTCCACATACTGTACATTATTGTTTCTCCTCTATGCCCCGCCTTTTTGAAACGCGTCGATTTTT